TGGTGCTGTGGAATCCAATCCTTTGACAGAATGGAGAACAGAGAGCTTAGAGAAGAAAAATTTCAGAGAAAAGTTTAAGAGAAACAGAAGGTTGTGAAAAAGATAATAAGAAAGTAATTGTAGCTCAAATTAGTCATTCAATAGGGATAGTTTGCCATTTCACTAAAGGAGAGCAGTAAAAATATTTTACTAACAGATTAAACTACAGCTAATTTGTATGTGCACCAAAACCTCCCTAGACCATAAACAGGCTAATTTACCCTTTCTTTTTCATTGCCTTTGTTAAAATGAAATATTTGAAACTGTCAAAAGTCCAAGATACATTCATGCAAAAAAAAAAAAAAAAACGATGAATTGAAATGACGAGGAGCATTTGTTTTCTTTGCAGAATTCTTTAAAAGAACTCATAACCATTGGTATATTCTACTTAATACCAATACAAGAATGACGATTAGTAATCTCTCGTGTTTTTCTTTTTGAAGGATTCATAAAAGGAACTCAATAGATGAGAAATCACTGGCAGAACAAATTATAAGAACATCTGGACTCAGCTCTGCCACTCACTGTCACCAACTTCTCTTGCCTCTGCCTCAGCCCGTCTACAGCTAGTTGAGGAGGCTGTTCCATGGGATTTTTTTCTTCAACTCTGCAGCTTCAATGTCATTGTCCACTATACTATGCTATTCTCTTCAACCATTTTCAAAGTTTTGGGAAGTCCACAATCACAATTGATGTCTGAGACTTAGAGCAATTGTTTTCACTTTAATAGTAAGATTTTTCTTCTGTTATCAACCAAAATTTCCAGTATCATACTAGTAGCAGTCTGCTTAGTAAGAACACACATTGAAGTCATTATAACTTGAACACACACTACCATACCCTATATCTTCAAAGTCAGTGGCGAGATTCAGGAGGGAAACTGCAGAAACAAAACAAGATTTAGTACTGATGTGTATTAGTGTCCACTTCTCACATTCGGTTTGAAGAAACTGTATCTTGTTTAGAAGTCGGATATGAGATATGGGAGGAAACTAAACAAATTGCACCAATTAGGACTGATTTATTTAGTATCCTCCCATTCTCACATACGACTTGAACATGAACTAACATGTACTAAATCTTCTATCAGTTCGGGAGTGGCAGGTAAGATATTGGAGGAAACTAAACAAAATGCACCAAAATTTAGTACAGACTTGTTTAGAGTCCTCCAATTCTCACATACAACTTGAACACCATTAAACCTCTCATATACAACATGAACACCATTAAATCACAGATCAGTTCGGAAGTTGGAGATGAGATATTGGAGGAAACTAAACAAATTGCACAAAAATTTAGTACAGACTTGTTTAGGGTCATCCAACTCTCACATACAACTTGAACATCATTAAATCACGTCTATCAGTTCAGAAGTTGGAGATGAGATATAGGAGGAAATTAAACAAACTGATTGATGATATCAATTTGTTTAGTTTCCTCCGATTCTCATATCCGACATGAACAAGCACTATGCTCTACTACATTTCTGGCTTCTTTTGCATTTAGGCCTTCACTTCATATATAGGCTTTGTTACCGACTGGTCACACACATTCACAAGAATGCACAAATCTCATGCTATTAATCTCTCTCCACACACATTCACAAGATAGGACAAACTCATGCTATTAAAACTGTTACTGTACTCTCTCTCACTCCATACACATTCACAGGGTGGCACAATTCTCATGCTATTAAAACATGCATGCCTTACTGTAGTACTCTCTCTCTCTCTTCTCTCAAACAATACATTTGAACTCTGATAAAAATAATTTTTTGTCAAAGTTAGTAATCCTAGCATCTCCAATCCTATGCAAGTTTACCACATTATCCCAAATTTATTATAATCACATAAATGGAAAAGATGATGCGTAATAGGTTGAAATTACAAAACTAATTCCAGCCATAAACTTTGACATATAATATAGTGTTAAATAAATATATATATATATAACATAATTTGTACAAGACATGTTTAGGTGAACTTTTATACAAGCACTCGACAGAAACCTAGATCGAGCATGTGTGTTTTGGTATTTTCACTATGTTGATGTTTTATATTATCAATAAAGTTGTGGTGTTTGAGAAACAATAGCTTGATGTGGCTTATAGATGTTGTCTGTTTTTGGCGGAAACCACGCTATTAACAATTGAGAGTTTGAAGATTTGGTGACATGGGAGATTAGGCCTTTTTTTTCTTTTCTTTTTTTTTCAAAAATTGGTTTTTGTTGGTTTAGGTGAATAATGTAGATGGATTTTCTCTTTTATGTAATTGACCAGCCGTGGAGTAAGAAAGACTTCAGAACTGTTCTAGTGATGTCTCTGGTCATATAAGTAAAAAAATGCATTTACTCTCGTAAATTCTATCACTACATGTCAATATTTAATCGGTAATACCATCTTATTAATATTCCAAGAACATTAAAGGATCCCTTTCTTTTTTATTGCCCTTGTTAAAATGAGATATTTGAAAGTGTCAAAGATTCTACACAAACATGGGAAAAAATTACACTCATCGAACATGAGCTGAAGATGGCAATAGGCTCAATAAACAATTCGCTCGAGGCAAGTCGAACCAAATTGAATAAAGTGTAAAAAAACATGCATTTGTTTTCTTTAAAAGAATAATGACCATTATAAGAACATCTGGACTCAGCTGTCACCGACTTCTCTCTTGCCTCTGCCGCAGCAGCCATCAACTCATCATAGTTTTCCATCTTTCCCGGCAATATTTCAGTCTACCGAACAAAAAAGCCGGCACCACACTCTACTATGTTGTTCTCTTGAACCATTTTGAAAGTTTTGGGAGGTCTACCATCACAACTGGTGTCCGAGACATGAGCAATTGTTTTCACTTTGATGGTAAGATTTCTTTCTGTCATCAGCCGATTTCCCGCATCAGGAGGAAACTATAGAAATAGAAACAAGATTTAGCATTTACCGAAAAAAAAAAAAAAAAAAAAAAAAAACTGATTTAGCAGTGATGTGTTTTAGTGCCCACTTCTCACATTCAGCTTGAAGAAATTGTATCTTGTTCAGAAGTCGGATATGAGATATCAGAGGAAACTAAACAAATTCTACTAGATTAGCACTGACTTGTTTAGTATCCTCCAATTCTCACATACAACTTGCATATGGCACTTGCAAATCTGCCATCAGTTCAAGAGTTGTAGATGAGATATTGAAGGAAACTAAACAAATTGCACCAAAATTTAGCACCAAATTGTTTAGCATCCTCCAATTCTCACATACGAATTGAACACCATCAAATGATCAAATAATGTAGAGCTCGGAAGTTGGAGATGAGATATTGGAGAAAACTAAACAAATTGCACCAAAATTTGGCAGAGTTGTTTAGTGTCCTCCAATTCTCACATACAACTTGAACGCCATCAAATCATCAATCAGTTCAGAAGTCGGAGATGAGATATTAGAGGAAATTAAACAAACTGATTAATGATACCAATTTGTTTAGTTTCCTCCAATTCTCATATACGACGTGAACAAGCACTGTGTTAACAAATCTCGTTCATTACCCTACTATAATTCTTGCTTTCTATTGCATTTGGTTCCTACAATAGCCAAATATATATAGGCCTTGTTACCAATTCGTCACACACATTCAGAAGAAAGCACAACTATTGAACTGTTAGTGTACACACACACTCCCTCAAGATAGCACAAATCTCATGCTATTAAACTGTCTCTCTCTCTCTCTCTCTCCATGCGCATTCACAAGATAGGACAATCCCATGCTATTCAACTGTCAGTCTGTTACTGTACTCTCTTTCTCTCTCTACACATTCACTTTCTCTCTCTACACATTCACATGGCACAAATCTCGTGCTATTAAACTGTACTGACTTAACATAGTACCCTCTCTCTCTTCTCACACACAAATTTGAACTCTCATCAAAATAACTCTGTTACTCTGTTAGTTTACCACGATATTATTGTAATATGTTGAAATTACAAAATTCTCCCTACATTATTGTCCCTTGGTATACAATGAGTCCTTATTATTTCTTCAATTTAACTCAATTTGGCTAAAAGCTATAGGGTTTTCTTTATCACGAGTGCATGATCAAACTGAGGATACGTCACAATCACTTCTTCTTCGGACCCAACGTGCTCTCCACAATTTTCAGAAAGAGTGATTGGCTGTAATTACATTTGTCATGATCAGTTCTACATTATGTAAATATTGTCCGCTTTGCACTCTCTTCTCAGTGCTTACGATTTTTCTGAAAACAAATTGTTAGGAAGAGTCCACACATATAAGCGGCAACAACCTCTTCGTCATATGATGTGAGACGTCACATTGCAATTTAAGTAATTTCACTGTGTCAATGTTTTGTTTTACCACGTTAGGTAAACTGTTCGCAAAATGAGGGTTTGAAGAATTTGGTGAAATGGGCTTTGTGGGTTTAGGTGAATGAATTAAATGGATTTTCTATTTTAGGTAACATCGGTCTGTGATTAGTAAGCAGGTAATCTGAGGGTTGTCTCAAAATAGAGGTAGTTTCAGAGAGAAATAGAAGGTCATGAAAAAATAAATATAAGATAATAATGATAGCCCAAATTAGTTATTCAATAGGTGTATAGTTTATCATTTAAGTGAAGGGGAGCAGTATAAAATTTACAAATAGATAATACAGCTCATTTATATTTTCACCATAACCTCCCTTGACATGAAACAGGACAATTTGCCCTTTCTTTTTTATTGTCATTGTTAAAATGAAATATTTGGAACTGTCAAAAGTGCAAAATACATTCAGGAAAAAGCAGCATGTCCCTTCGTTTCAGATTTCTCAAAAGCGCAAAATACATTCAGGAAAAAGCAGCATGTCCCTTCGTTTCAGATTTCCACACAAACATGGAAGAAGTGCTGCACACCAACGAACATGAGCCGAAGATGGCAATAGGCTCAATAAATTGGATAAAGCGTAAAGAATCACGCATGGGACAGAAAAAGACCTTTAAAAAATGAAATTTGAATGACAAGGAGCATTTGTTTTCTCTACAGAATTCTTTAAAAGAAATCATAACCATTGGTATAATATTCTACTTAATGCCAATACAAAAATGACCATTAGTAATGCCTCGTGTTTTCCCTTTTTCAAGGAAGGGGTGTCTTATGTCCGACTATAATAGATTCATAAAAGGAACTCAACAGATGAGAAATCACGAACAGACCAGATTTCAGGAACATCTGGACTCAGCTCTGCTGCTCGCTGTCTCCATATTCTCTTGCCTCTGCCTCAGCAGCCATCAACTCATCAAAGTTCTGTGTCTTCCCCAGCAATATTTCAATCTACCAAAAAAAAAAAAAAAAAAAACACCACAGTACATGTAAGGTTGCAGAAGAACCCCTTTTTTTCTTGTAGAACAGAAAACATAAGTGTATTCAATTAGGGTTTGCAGCTAGCAACAATTGATCAAAGCTAATCTGAGTCCATGGTGTCAACTTAGTGAGTGATCAACCCAAGCCTAAAGCTGATAGAGTACACCCAAACAAAAACCATAATGAACTGCTCAACTCTTAAAACCACAACTTCACATCGAACCAAACGTAATGGTCTTTTAAAACATCACCTAGTGGTGGGAAGTATCTATAGTCTACACAGGGAACACCTGCCCACTAAAACTCCCCCTCAGAGGTCCATCTAAATTTTTTCCCCCTAAATACCGATTTTATACTAGATTGGCCTTGCCAAAGAATCACTAGTGGAAAATTACCAGTGAAAGAGAATAGACAAATTAAAATAAATAAGGTGTAGCACCTATATCCTCACAAGTCAAACAAATGGGACAAACCATCAAGCATGTTTGGAGAACATACATAACACAGATCAATATTAGTGGATAAAGGCCAAATATCACTTGTGATTAAAACAGTAAGAAATAAAATTAGTGACATGACATGGTGTTGGCCCTTTTAATGGCCCAATGAGGAGACTGAGGGATGGACTAAGTACACCAAACCTTTGAGAATATTTGTAAACAGTAGCTGTCTTTCGAAATTCAAACCCAAGTTCCCACGTTTGGACAAACAATATTCATCCTTGCACCATGCAATGACGTTGAGCACCCATGTACATACTGCTTAACAAAGTAAAACTAAATAGCTCAACTCGCAAGCCTTAATCCACTACTTGGGATTGAAATTAAATTGCTGAAAGCATCTTACCATCCCAAATTTCTTTTGAACACTTGAAAAAAAAAAAAGAAGGGCCATTGGTTATTGCAAAGGTAAAAGTTCAGGCTGCAAGCACAAGGACCCCGGTTCAAGTAGGAGAGCAGCTAGGAAGCACGGACACTTCTGCGAAAGAGCCATATCCGTGTCGTATTTCACAGACACTCCTTCAACAGGTGTCTGACACTTCATGCGCATAATGTATTTCATGGACCCACTAAGTAGGAACCACCAGATGATACCTCCTTGTCTTTTTAAAACAAAAGATTCATGCTCAGTTTCCAATTTTTTATTTTATTTTCTTCACCTGGTAATTTACTTAGTTCGTGTCTCCAAATTTATTCATAGGCCAGAATCCTCAAATTTTACACTTTTTCCAACTAAAAATGCCAATGAATTTCCAAAATGAAGCAGGATATTACTGAGGACAAGCACCAGCTGGATGAATCCTATTTGGTAACCTTCTACATATGGCAGTCTACTTACTGGTACCATTGCGAAACTGATTAAATCTAACGTATATTGCTAAATTACCTTTGCTTTTGGTAAAGGTCGCCCTTCTGGTTCGTTCCTCACGTCAACAGTCAATGTCCTGATCTCTGCACATGATCAATATTATAAAAGTCAATTCCAAGATCAAAATAAAGCTTTGAAGTGGAGAGGTAAAATAGTCTAAGGAGTAGAAATTCACTTTTTTCGACAGCAAATCCATTGTTCTTCAAAATTTCGGCAACAGTTACCACTGTGGCAATAGCTGTAGACAATCACGTTGCAGAAAATGTTAATCCATTGGGAAACCATAGAAAACCTTACATTTTTATGATTTTAAGCAATGCCATAGGTGAAAGTGGACTGCAAAACATTCAAATTATAAAAAACTTAAGGATACAAAATAACAGTTACTAAAATAACCGATTTTTCATCAAAGGCGCCCAATGTAAATATATGATCTCCTCAAAGAACAATTTAACCATCACATATTATGCCAATGAATAGGTTGTTTTGATTCTATTCCCAACCGACAGTTGGGGATTTAATAAGTAAGAGTTTTCTATGCATGTGTGTGCTGGAAAAGGAAGGCGTGGGGTGAAGAAAGTTAATAAAATGACCAAATTACGCACAATTCTACCAATCTAACTGCATTTAGCACATAGAAAACACAAGGGCAACCAAGGGAAGGAACATAAGCAGCTACAAAAGAGCTCCAAACACTCTCAAAACACCAGTTGAGAATCTCCGTTTTCCAGCACACTAATAGATCAATTGCATAGATAACCAATCAAATTTAAATAATTTATAATGCTTACCCACATAGTGACATACACTTTGAACAAAACCATGATGATGACAATGATAACAACAAAAATATGATCAATGAAAAGAAATTTTAGTCTATACTAAATCTTAGAAAAAAGTATTGCAAAAGAGGAGCTTAAATGAATTACCCATTCCAAGAGCAGATAGTTCCACCTCATTGTATTGCTGCATGTACCTCTGCAAAGAAATTATCAACCAAAGAATGACTTTAAAAGATACCACCGGCACATACATACAGATAACTAATTATGCATTGTGTCAAGTATACTGTATACATATCACAGAGACATGGTGGTTCAAAACCCACAAGTTAACATGCCTCAACTACCACTAAAGGCCTAGCCTAGTGGTATGGGAGGCTGGGGGTTCAATTCCCCAATGGGGCAATAGTGGGCGTGTGAGTACATTGGATTGGGGGTGTGGGCATTCCTCAAAAAAGAAAAAGAAAAAAAAAAAATATATATATATATATAAAGCCCTCAACTCCGAGATTTTCCAACAGTTCCACGAAATTCAGTGTGTAACTGAAGCAACAATATTTTCTCATCCATTTCTATTCCCTCAACTACATCTTTAGCACCCAATTATAATAAACAATTTTATTTGAAACAAACAGAGCCTCAGTAAAATGAACGAACTAAAAATTTGTGAATGTCAAAGTTCTCATTTTTCGGCTGCAATGAGAAGGGGGTCACTATATAGGTCACTATTTCCTTCCAATAAACAACTGCAGAAGGCTTAAAATCGAAACCTCATTTTCAATCTTGTACTACATTTTCTCAGCAAACAAACAGACGATTCATCTGTCACAATTAAAAAGTACACTATCGTATGATTAATTTAGACAAAACCTAAACAGGTGCATATAAATACACATATGCACTGACATTTTTGTGTATACCTATATATATTGAGAAAGAGGAATATATACATATATATATATATAGAAATACCTTGGCGAGATTGACATAGAAGAAGAGAGGTTTTTTGGTGTTGGAGACCTGGATGCGATTTCTCTTGTGAGTATCAGAGATGTTCAAGTTGTTCACTGCCTCTGTTATCCCTTCCATTTTCTTCTATCTATCAAATCAAACCCAAACCAAACTATAATCCAATCTCTCTCTCTCTCTCTAAAAAATTTCTCTCTCTACAGAGTTTTGGACGGAGAAGCCCTTGGGGGCTGTAGGGTTCTTCTGATGAGGCACCTTAAACGACGGCATCTCCTGTGGATTATCATTAACTTTTATTGGGCTTTCTAGCCGGTTCCGGTGTTGGGCCTTTCTCCTAAAACAACACTCTCTTTCACCCTTTTTTTTTTTTTTCCAGTATTATTATTATTTTAAAATGTGTTTAGGGCTTGGATTAAACCCAAAAAAAAAAAAAAAAAATAGAGTGACTATATTTAAGATAATTTTTTTCTTTAGTAATTTTATCACTTTTAGAACTGAGAGAAATATACTATCACTTGTTAGTTTTCGTACTTGACGAACAAGCTAGGTTAGTCGATTGTAAATATTTTAAGTGTTTTCCTCACAAGGAATGCCCACATATCTATTAATCTTTATACAATTTATCCTTACGTTCCTTAATTACACATTATTAGATTTGAAATAGGATGAATTTGTTTGTTAACAAGTAAGACAACCATATATGAAAATTAGATTTTATATAGGATTTGGTTAATTGCTTAACAAGAAAGTCTATCACAAACTCTATTTCTTCTATATATATGTACTACTTTGATCACAATTAGTCATAATCATTCATTCCATTCTCTCACTTTCTCCATATATATTAAAGTTCTCTCTAAAAATGGTGATTCCGTTAATACACATGATGTTCCTACCATGAAGTTAAAATTGAAGGTGAATATGTTGAAGGAAAATGCTGCATACCCTCTTTTTGGTGATTTGATGGCGGCGGAAGTCTTGTTGAAAGCAATTCGAAATCTTGATCAAAACAACAAAATTGTGATACCAAGATGCAAAAGGGATTTCCGTGAATGTTTGGGTCATATACAATATGATATATATAACATACTTGAGGAAGGTGAATGTTTAAGAACCTACCATCAATGTTGTTTTGATAATCATCATCATTGTGGTCATCAACCACAAGAAGAAGAAGAAGAAGAAGAAGTAGCAGTGCAGGAAATGAAGAAGAGGAAGGCAGTAGTGAAGAAGATGGAATTGCTTCCTCCTGATCATGACTACTCACAAGTGCCTTCGGATTTGCCATAAATTTCAAGAATCGAATTCAACAACTCGAGGGTTCCGAGCCAATGTTTGTGGCACAGAAGAGGCTTACCAAAACCGACATGGACTCAGGGTAGGCACGTTTATTGTTGCCATTCAGTCTCATCAAGAATCATGAGTTCCTCACACCAGAAGAGAAGCATTTTCTCAACTCCAAATTCGTTGAATCTGAATGCAATGGAAAGTTGCCGGAATACGGTTGCCTCTAATTGAACCGTCTGGTGAGGAGCAATGTTACGTGACAATCAAGAGGTGGGACATGCCCAAGAGAGACGTGGGCAAAGTCAACTCGTCGTACTCATTGGTCTCGGGTTGGAACTCGGTTGTGTCGAGAAATAGGCTTCAAAAAGACATGGTGTTGCAAGTATGGTCGTTTTGAGTTGAGTCTGAATTGTGGTTTGCTTTTGTCAAACTCGGACAAAATTAAGCTATACATATAGTACTAGATTATTCATGTAAACATATTTCAATATTTTTTTATGTCATAGTTTAATTTGTGGATGATTTCCATGTATTAAATGTACTATATATATATTAGGAATTGTTATATACACGTCAAAAATTTCTTTCTTTAAATTAGGATGATTTCTTTCGATATCCATTCAGTTTGGTGTATGCATCCAACAATACATACCATTAATTTATCTGCTTAAATTATGTGTGTGTGTGAAGAAATAACATCTACTCTATATTTTGATCCCAACTAAATGCAAAACCAAGAAACTAATGCATTATTCCCTTTTTCTTATTAACTCCTAATGTGCATCCTCAAATATGAGTTAGGGACAACATACACTGTGGATGTGAGTCAAGAAAAATAAAAATAAAAATAAAATAATGACACGGTACTAGAAACCACTATATTATGTTATAAAATTGTCATTAAAAAGACATCTCCAAATTTTCATTATTATTATTATCATCATCCAAGTGCAAAGGGTAGACTGAAATATTTATTATTATATTTATTTTACATGCCCATATAAATAGGGTCAATATATGAAATGTGACACCGGACAAACAGATTAAAGGATCAAACATAACTGGCGCAGCTCTCTCCAACGCCGTTTTTTGTCCTTGCCATTCTTGCTACCATGTCCATTCTCTTGAGCAATCTTCCTTTGCCTTCTACAATAATTAAAAAATGAATTAGTACAATGTAAATTATCTCCCATCTTATTATTCTCTACAATTCAAAATAAAACACAAATTAAAAATAAATAAATAAAATTAGTCGAGCTAGATTGAAGAGAATCTAATATTATCATTCTCAAAATCATAATATATATATATATATGGGTTAATTGCACAAAACTAACTATAAACAAATTTCAGATAACCTTAATGCTAAATGTTAGCAAATAATCACCTAATTTACTAAAAATTTAGCAGGTCAAAAAAATAAACTGTTAAGGGTTAATTTTTTTGCTTATGATGACACTAATTAAGCCAATGACATAGAGATTAGCCTCAAGCCAATAATACCTCCGAAACTATGTGCTTTTAATAAAATATGCTCGCAACAAAAATACACACAGTGCGCATATAATGACAAGCAGCAAATGCATATATGCAACTGAAGTCACACAATTACATGAACTAACTCCACACCCTTAATTAGCTACACTTTATCACAATCGATGGTATACAAAAAATTATATATATACTTAAGCTATGCTGGTATTTGGTAGCCTTGAAATTGGAATTGAAGGAATTTAGTTCAAGACATCCATTCATGCTTCCAAGTCCAATGTAATGTAGCAGAAGACAAAAACAACAGAAAAAAAAAAAAAAAAAAAAAAAAACTATCTCTATGTTGTATGAATAGTACTGTTACTGCTCATGCAAGTAATATATAAATATATATTGAAAATAGAAAATAATACGGAGTAAATATTTATCAGAGCAACAAGAAGGGTGGAATAATATTTCACTAAGAGAACAGTTATAATATAAAAGAATAACACTGGAACAAGCAGAGGCATCCCAAAAAGCAGTCAAATATGCTAGTTGTCACAGGGGTCCAGTGTTGGTGTCTTAACAGTTGTAGCGTAACCAAGTCATTTTTTATTTTTTTCCACCAGCAAAAAGCTAGACAATTCATTCAAGAAAATAAAAGGTACAATTCAAATGAGTTGCATCAACTATCAAGCAACTATTGAGGGCATATCTCCCAAATGAAAAACAATATTAAAAATAAATAGAAGTTCATGATTTGTTAAGAGTACAAGTCTTTTTTGTTTTTTTTTTCAATTTTTTTGAATCAGTAATCGAAAGATGGGACCCACGCCATAGCATACAGTAGTTGCATGGAAGTTGTTTAAGGACCTATAACCATTTTTTTTCTTCAAAATTTTAAATTCAGTCTCTTTCTAAAAGAAGAACCAGATGCCAAAACATACAGGCCTATATATATTGTCAGCTGTCATTGTGCCACTTAGGCAGTTACCAATGGTCTGCCATATAATATAGTTGATCAACACAATAAGAAAAAGCTATATAATATATATATATAGAATAAGAACAACTCTAGATTTTTGGATTCGATCATCAACACAAAACCTAGCGCATACGCTAACATATTCACATCCCAACAGCAAAAGAAAACCATGTGAAAGTCTTATCAAGACGATTGCCTGATTCCTCACATACTAAACATGCCTTACTAACTAATGCAAAACAACAATAATCAATAAACATATTCATGTAGGTCTCATAGGTTATCATATTATTATTGGTTATTTGTTTTAAACATTGTTTAGTCCTTGAATATTAATGTTTCACTTTAAAAATATTTTTTCTTCCTCAAATTTACAAGACCAAAATTTTCTCTAATATAGTTTAATTTCAATTACTATTTTTTTTTTTTAATACAAACAACAAATGCAATGTTTTCTTCTTCTTTATTTTTTTCCTTTCCCGGGAAGGTAAGATTAGTATTGAATTTATGAACAAAAATATGTGCAAGAGGAAGGAACAAACTCCAACAACCCAAAGCCTACAGCATGCAACAGAGGCACAACAAATGACCCTTAAGAATTGCAGAACCAATAACAAAGCCTACAAATGCAATGGTTCAACAAAAACCATGAAAATAAATTTATATACATATATATATATATATATATAAAGGAGAAGAGACATATGTAAGTTTAGAAAATTAACAAAATTAGTCATCCATAAGCGCACAAAAACAACAAATTTTCCAAATTGTTTTGCTTCCTAATATCAAATGTAGGAATATAGCATACGAAAAACGATAAAATTAAACCACTCAAACTACTAAACACAAGAAACAGAGAAACAAGCAAACCAAGCTAACTGCAGCACTATAAATCAAACAATGCAAAAAAAAAAAAAAACATGCAAACCACTGATCAGCTACTGGGAACCAAGTTTTTTTATTTTTCTTTTGTTTTTAAAACTAATTTGTTCAAGTTTTTATTTTCTTGAATTTATTGGTCCTTACTTGGCCAACATGACTTTGAAGAACTCCTCATAGCTGATCTGTTTATCACCATCGCCATCAGCTTCATCAATCATCTCATTAACTTCCTCATCTGTCAGCTTCTCACCAAGACTTGTCATAACATGGCGGAGTTCATCTGCAGTTATGAAGCCACTCTCATCCTTGTCAAAAACCCGGAAAGCTTCCCTGAGGTCGCCTTCAGTTTTAGGGTCTGCCTTCAACCTCCGAGCCATTAGGTCAAGGAATTCTTGGCGATCAATAGTCCCACTGCCATCTGCATCAACCTCGTTGATCATATCCTTGAGCTCTGCCTCTGTTGGGTTTCCTCCCAATGCCCTCATCACTGTACCAATCTCATTGGTAGTGATCCAACCTGCATATATGCAATGATCAAATTAAATATTAAAATACAAGCATTAACCATTTCATCGTAATATATATAATTAAATTGGTAGGTGCATAGGGGAATGGATGAAAATGAATAGATGGTACAAATTAAGTAACATATATCCAACCATCTCCGTCCTTGTCAAAGAGGCTGAAAGCCTCACTGAATTCTTTGATCTGAGTGTTTGTTAGCTGATTTGCCATTCTTTCACTCAGAATGAAAGGGAGAGAGAGAGGGGGGAGGAATCAAACAAAATGTGTTGAGAGAGAAAGGAAAACCCTGTGTTCTGTCAGAGAAAAATAAAGGGGGGAGGGATGTTTATAGAGGGAGCTTACCAAAGCCAAGGTTGGGTATCGGATGCAGTCCCATTCCCAAAGGCGAAAATTCTTTACTTACTTCACCTTTTCCATCAATTATTCCCTCTCCATTTCTCTGCTTTCCTCTTCTTTTTTCTCCTTTTTTTTTTTCTTCTTTTTGGTGCATGGAGTAAAATTTATTCTCAGGCTCTATTAGTTTGATGGAGAAGACATATTTAATAATTATGAAGCTCACCACATAATTATTTAGGCTCCATCTTATTTTTAAAAAATGTTTGATATCATCACTGAGCTAGCTTCTATCAAGACCCCTTGCTTGGCCTGAATTTCCATGAGAAATGCCATTCAGAGAACTCACAACCCCTTCTCCATGCTATTTGACCACATCATTTTCAACGGACAGCTACTGTTTGATCATCTGTACTGTTATCTCTTGGAGAAGGCTCGATCTCACGTGCACTCCTTGCCATTGCTCTGATTTCCTCAACTTTATTATTGAAATCCATAGATTCTGTAGGCTGAGGAGTGTTACAAAATTCATGTAAGGCCAAATTTATCATCTGATGTATTTGCTCTCAGAATTCTATTCTGAAGTTGTTCCTAATTATCAAGCCTCAAATTCACTCAGGTTATACAAAAAAGGATCAATTCCACTTCTTCTCAAGATTTCATCCTCAGCCCTTTTGACATAATTACCATCTGAATCTTGAAAATTAGTAAATATAGGACCAAACGCAATTGCCCAATTTTCAGCAAAAACCCCATAATTAGAACTAAAAAAATTACTCTGCTTTACACGGTCATTATCAGAGTTATATTGAAAACTCTGGACAAAACTATGAACTGGGATTGAAAATAAGAACTAGGGTAATAAATTAAATTACTGAATTGTGACGCACCTGTTGTTGTCCAGTGAGCCTTTTTTCTGCAACTCGTGAATCGGCCTGAAATACAGAAATTTGTCATTGTAGGGAGGGACAAAGATGTTGAATATGGGAGAAGAAGAGGGAATTTGGAGTTGGGAATGAAGAATTTGTTTCCCCAATCTTGTGATACGAACGTTGGGAGTAAAAATTGAAACCCCAAAGAAAATTCGTGAGCTGCTTGTGGTTGTGGGATTGAGAAGCTCCATGGACGAGGACGGAGCTCACCAGAGAGACGCTTAAACCCCGACAAAATGGGGAGGGAAATAAAGAAAACAAACAGTATCGATCAATATGTTTCGGAAATGTTTTTCTAATTTTGGAAGTAAATATTTTCCAAAATGAAGAATAAGACTAGTTAAAGATTTATTGTAACTAGGCCCAAACCAGTCCAATCCTAACTCAATCTCAACTTGAAATCAGATTGGATTGGGTCAGCTCGAATTGTGCCCAACATGAATTATGGTTATAATTCGGTCCGAATATTTTGGACGAATCGAATCGAATTTCACGAGTTGATTTTTTTTTGAATTTTTCAAAGAGAGGATTATTGAGATTTTCAGACTCAGCCACTATTGGAGATAAACATCAATAATTACATGAATCAGAACTCGTTCGAGTTGACTCAGGCTCGTTCAAATGAACAAAATCACACATCATTAAAAATATGGAAATTCACGGTCATGTCAATCTATTTTTTTTTTATTTTTTTTTATTTTTGCACATATTAATTTATTGAATATGTACGTTTACTTGCATGATTTCACCTACACCCCCTGACGTTTCATAATTCCACTTACACCCCCTCTACGTTTGTCTATATTACACTTACACTCCCTTTACGTTTCATAATTCCACTTACCTCCCTTGAGGTTTTGATTTATGTAACAAATTACCCCCTGCCGTTAATCAACTGACGGTGTTAGCATGAACAAATCGGCACAAGGTTAATTTTGCCCTTCCAATACTTAAAATGACATTTTTAACCTCATTGACTAATGCAAATTTACAAAATTACCATTACTGCCTACACCCATCTTTGATTCTTCTGCTGGTGGCGGGACTGTTCGACGGGAATGAAATGTTCGGCGAGTCCATAGCCGTCTTGAACTAGGTTTCACCGAGGTGGATTGAGGACGATTGTAGCGTCGCCATATTGAAGCACGTTGTTAGGTCGTAGGAGGAGGTTGAGAAAGGCAGTGGCAGTGGTTTTTTGAGATAGTGGCAAAACCCATTAATTTTTCAATCAAATTTGCTAATTTTTTTTGTTCCAAATAATTTGATTGATACAACAACAAAAAGTATGAACACGCATCATTTAGATTTTTTTTTTGGCGAAGCTAAGCATACACATCGATCAGTCAATAGAGACCCAAAATTATAAGCAAATCAATCCTAAATACATGGTTTTTAGAGAAGGTATTAAAAGAGGAAATTGAAAAACTAAAATATCAAATTACATTATAACTGAACCAATTGAATGTGGGAAACGCTAAAGATGAAGGAAAATTAACCTTGATTTGAGCTTCTTGTGTTGATCTTAATCAGTTTTTCGGGCTTTACAGGCTGGAAATTCGAAACAAATCCCTAAATAAAGTGAACCTTAGACGTACGACTTTCCGTCGCACTTCATCACCGTCGGCGATCCCAATAAACTTCACGTCGTCCATCCCACTACACCGCCGTGTCATATGACTTTCCGGCCTCAAGAGGAAAGTTCAGAATCACTTTACTTCCCGATCCAAACTCTAGACCTTTGGCGTTTTGGATAACGGATCTCTACCGAGGGCTTGCCCCCCACGACTTTCGTCGGACGCTTCTGTACCTGATGGTGACACACCTCGCCGCCGATATCAAGAACTGGAAGACCATCACCGTCGACAACAATGGGATGTTAGATCTGTTTTCACCGTCTACCGCCGTCAACAACATCGGGATTCAAGGTCGGTATGACTGAATCGCTGCTTGCCGGATTGAACTGGGTTTGGTTGAAAAGGACGGTGGAGTTACGACAAAAGTTAGCGTCACAGAAGGAGTCGTCGTTGTCTGAGATTCTTGTCGTGTTGCCTTGCCATCACCGGTTCTCGGATCGACGAGGTGCAACCATGGCCGCCACGGGTTCTTATCACAGCCGCTGTCCTCCGTTGCGAGCTTCGCCGGACTGAATTAAACTTTACAGAACTTAGGATTGCCATCTGACTTAGGTGAAGCAATCTTCGACAAGTTACAAAGGTGAAGCGATCTCCACCGTCCGACTTGGTCACCGGTATTTACATCATGTATTGTGTGTAAGGAAAGAGAAATAGAGGGCATTTAAGTCTTTTCATTTAAGTTATAAATTTTAATATATAATTCATGGGCAAAAAGTAAAATCACGCATTTCTGTTAGAAAATTAGACGGTGGTTATTGACTCGGGGTGTAGGTGGAATTATGAAACGTAGAGGGGGTGTAAGTGGAATATAGGCAAACGTTAGGGGGTGTAGGTGGAATTAACCCTCTTTTTTTTTTGGTTTGACAAAGACATAACTGAGAGTGAGTCCGAGTCAACTCGGAGTTATATAATTGATTAAGTCATACTACATAAGATAAATATAAGATAAAAGACATGGATTGTTTCCATCAATCAACTTATAAGTTAAAAGACAAAGATAAGATACCCATTAATGCAATTTAGAAATGGGAACAATCCATGTCCACCAATTCAATGTTTTTTTTTTTCCTTGTTTGTAACTTTAAATATTGGATTTATAATAGCTACTTAAATGACTTGCCGAGTTAACTCGGTGTGATAATGTGACAGACATGGAGGACTAGCAGTGATTAAACGACAAGAATAAAATTAACCTTTCGCCGGACGGTGAGGAGGTAGCGGCCAGAGGTGTCCATGAGTATGACCACACCCTCGTCACGATTATCGGGTCCATACGAGTCAACTTGAAAGACGAGCTCACCTTTGGAATCGTAGACGGTGAATCCATCGCTGGTGAAAAAAAGAGAGGTCTTGAGAACAGTAAGATGGGTCTCTTCTTCGCATATGCACCCATCTTCAACAACAGTACCACCTTTCATTCGTCTAAGATAGTTAGATTTAGGAGTTTCCAATACAATCTCTCTCTGTCATGGATAGCAGCGGGGACGGCGGCGGCGGCGACGGCAACAAAGGGGACAGCGGCGGCAGAGGGGAAATGTCTCCTCTCACAAGAATTCGGGTTGACCATGTTCTAACCCAAGACCAACCCGAAAATAGGCCCAAGTTGAAATGTGTCGACCCAAAACCAACCCAATTTGTTGGTGAACCCAGCCCAATCCGAAAAATCTCGGGTTGGACTGGGCCGGCCTGTCCTAACTTGCAGCCCTAATTGTAACCGAAGATTTATTTTATTAACAGAAAATAATATATACTCTTAATTTTAAACTATATAATAACTTGAGAGAATCAATTGAAAGAGTGTGCTAGATATTAAAATGGGTGTAAATATAGTTGGAGAGAGAGTATTTCGTAATTGCTCTAATTATTATTATTTTTTTTTTTCACTTTAACAAAGAGTAATTCAAGAATATTATTGTTCGACCGCGAGGAGGGGGTCTGCACCCTCTAGAACACAATCGTCAAATACAACAAGAAATATGAATATCAACAATATTCAAGCATGCACAAAAGATAAGAGTGGTTGATGGGTAAAATAGGAAATTTGTGTCTCCAAAATTTTGAGATCAATCCCACAGCCTTATATCACCATTACAGACATGCTTATTGATAAAACAAGATAAGTATAGCATGTGAATCACAATATAACATCAATAAGGCCTTGGCAATAGCTTCAACAATGAAGAACTTTGGTAGATCAAACCAAAGATGACCAAAGTTATGTCCAAAAACCAACTTCAACAGCCTTGATTCACCAAAATAAACTTGCTAACATGTAGATCAATCATAGTATAGCAAGATATAATCAAATCATATATGAACCACAAGGCTAAACCAAATTCAAGGTTTGGGATACCAAATTCATTTGAGCAAAGTAAACCTCAAAAACAAGTGTTCGGCAAATATAAATAGCCAAATTATACTTATATCAACCTTGACTTAGCACCATAGCAATTTCAAGCTAAAGGTGAAACCAGCCCTTGCATCAGAAAACTTGACAGCATAAGTACTTCATGATGAACACAGCAACAATGATCAATTCAATGATATTTGTATAAGAATTTCAGGCTCTGATCATCAACAAGGACCTTAGAAATGTTGGTTCATATGAAGCTCTTGAGATATACACAATGAAGGCTCAAATTAGGGTTTTACAAAAGGCTTATTCTACAGAAATGCTATAACAGTATATATATACTTATACTCACTATCCAAGTCTTACTACAAGAAGGATATACACCTGGCACCTGTAACTAATCATTGTCTAGAGAAAATTTTGACATTCTCCATGAGAATATGCCACAATGCCCTTGTCAACTCAGCTATTTTGTCCTCTACCTTACCAGAAAATACAGCTCACATTTGCAAAACTGTGTAAGCATTCATATCCAAAACATAGAGATGGAGAAATACTGTGTAGTGCAT